ATAAACAAGCTGAAGCCTAAGAAAATTGCATAATATCTGACTGAGAGTGTGAGTCAGAGCTTACATTTAACCCAGCTCTCTCCATTACTAACATGGAACAGAAGGGACCTGCACAGCTATTGGAAAGAAGGAAATAATGTTCATTACTTGTATGATATGTGATTATATACCCAGAAGATAAATGAGACTGAAAGATTGTTAATAACTACATGGTAAAGTGACTAGACACAGGATAATGAGTTCTGTATATTTAGAAATAATGTCCCTATGTACTAGCAATCATGATTAGAAAGTATAATAAGAGAAAATCATTTTCACAACTCCTAAAGTAAAAGAACTGGTAGGAAAGAAAACTTTAACAAAATTTGTGGAAGCTACAATAACTTTAGACACATTGACTAAATGGAGAGAGATTCATTTTTTCAGATCAAAAAAAGTTAGTACTATAAGAGCCTTCTCACATTAATGTATAGATTAAAATAAATCACATCAAAATCTTGATGGAAACTTAAAGAAATAATTCAAACTTCACCTGGAAAAAATAAACTGGCAAAAAAATAGCCTAAAAAAGCATTTGGGCCCTAACCGGTTTGGCTCAGTGGATAGAACGTTGGCCTGTGGACTCAAGGGTCCCAGGTTCGATTCCAGTCAAGGGCATGTACCTTGGTTGCAGCACATACCCAGTAGGGGGTGTGCAGGAGGCAGCTGATTTATATTTCTCTCTCGTCGATGTTTCTAACTCTCTATGCCTCTCCCTTCCTCTCTGTAAAAAATCAATAAAATATTTTTTTTAAAAAAAAAAGCATTTGGGGGCGGGGGGGTGGGAGGGGAGTCAGACTCACCTACTAGTAGCAAATGTTACAGTGGATTTTCAAGTATCTATAATCAAGCCAGCGTGAACTTGAATAGAGACATAAGAGAGCCCTTAGTGCCATTTGTGCTACTTTTCCGTATCAAAATAAAGACTAATATTGTATCAGTATCAATCAACACCTGAGTCTATTGCACTGCAGAGACTAATTCATGTGTCTGAATGAAACACAACTCCACGGTCCCTGAGAGCAGTTACCATAGGAATTGGTCACTTGGGACAGCGTGATGGGCATGTGAAGCACCCACTTAGCGGCCAGGGCTCCTCCATTGCGTGGGAATGGGGAGAGCGCCTGGAGAGAGGGAGCTGGAAGTATTGCCACGGTGTATCCGATGAGGGAAAGGATAAAGCTCTGTATTCAGGAGTTAAATCAAAATCTCCACCTTCTCTTAAACCAGGGGAGACTGGGGGCCAGCCAGTCCTCTCCACAACCACTGCAAAGCCTCGGAAGCACTTAGGTCTCAGTAACGATTTAAAAACCTCAATTCAATGACTCAGATGGGGATACGCAGACAGACACGTAAACAGAAAGATGGATTGACCAGGGAATAAAGCTCCCTTGGTGGCAAGGAAGTTTTGAACTCTTTCTACTGTGTCCCTGCAAAATTCATTCTCTTTCCAAACCATCCTGAACCTTGCATTTGCAAGTGACAAAAATCTGGTTTTCCCCAGCCAAGTTTATTCCATGTTTCACCAGTCAAACCTGATCCAGCATCTTCTCATCGACCTAAGGTGCATTAATCCACACAAAAGGCACCGTGTGCGATTCTTCCGGTGTGGGTCCTGCTCCTTCAAAGGGATGCTCAGATTGACCAGAAGGGGGCAGTCTCTGCACAACCCGGCCAGCACTCGGAAAGGGTCGGTCTTGGCCACTGTGAATAGTGCTGCAATGAACACAGGGGTGCATATATCTTTGCGAATACATGTTTTCAAGTTATTCAGGTAGATAACCAGGAGAGGGATTGCTGGGTCATATGGCAACTCTATTCTTAATTTTATTTTGTCTTTTCTAGTGGGACTTTACTTCAGGATTAATGCCGCAACCCTTTAATACAGTTCCTCATGTTGTGGTGACCCCCAACCATAAAATTATTTTCGTTGCTACTTCATAACTGTAATTTTGTTTTTCTTTTTCATAACTGTAATTTTGCTACTGTTATGAATCATAATGTAAGTATCTGATATGCAGGATGTATTTTCATTGTTACAAATTGAACATAATTAAAGCATAGTGATTAATCACAAAAACAATATGTAATTATATATGTGTTTTCTGATGGTCTTAGGCAACCCCTGTGAAAGGGTCATTCAACGCCCAAAGGGGTCGCAACCCACAGGTTGAGAACCGCTGGTGTAAATGTACTATAGCTGTTCTATTCACTCATCTATTGATGGACACTTGGGCTGCTTCCAAATCTTGGCTATTGTAAATAATGTTGTAATGAACATAGAGGTGTACATATTCTTTCAAATTAGTGTTTTAGGTTTCTTTGAATAAATTCCCAGAAGTGGAATTGCTGGGTCATAGGGCAGTTCCATTTTTAAGTTTTTGAGGTGACTCCAAACTGCATTCCCACCAGCAGTGTACTAGGGTTCCTTTTCTGCACATCCTCACCAACACTTGTTTGTTGATTTATTGATAATAGGCATTCTGATAGGTGTGAGATGATATATCAATGTGGTTTTAATTTGCATTTCTCTGATGATTAGTGATACTTAGCATCTTTAGAATATGTCTACTGGCCATCGGTATGTCCTCTTCGGAGAAGTGTCTTTCAGGTCCTTGACCCATTTAATTGGATTGTTTGGGGTTTTTGGTGTCAAGTAGCATAAATTTTTCTAAATTTTGGATATTAATCCCTTAGCAGCTGTATCATCGAATATGTTCTCCCATTCAGTGAGCTGTCTTTTCATTTTGTTGGTTTCCTTTGTTATGCAAAAATATTTTATTTGGATGTAGTCCCATTTATTTTTTTTTTCTTTTGTTTCCTTTGCCTGAGGAGATACATCAGGGAAAATATTGCTACCAGAAATGTTCAAGATTTAACTATGTTTTCCTCTAAGATTTCTATTTTCTAGTCTAACACTTAAGTCTTTGATCCATTTTGAGTTTATTCTTTTATTGGGTGTAAGAAGGTAGTCTAGTGTCATTTATTTTTTTTTTTTGCATTTCTGTCCAATTTTCCCTACACCATCTGTTGAATAGACTGTCTTTACCCCACTGTATGTTTTTGCCTCCTTTGTCAAATATTAATTGGTTATAAAGGTATAGGTTTATTTCTGGGCTCTCTATTCTATTCCATTGATCTATATGTCTGTTTTTATGTCAGTACCATGCTGTTTTGATTACTATGGTCTTATCATATAGTTTGATATCAGGCAGCATGATTCCTCCAACTTTGTTCTTTCTCAAGATTGCTGTACTACTCGGGGTCTTTTTTGGTTCCATATAAATTTTTGGAATATTTGTTCTGGTTCTATGAACTATGCCATTGGCTTCTCAATAGGAATTACATTGAATCTATAGATTGCTTTGGGTAGTTTGGACATTTTAATGATATTAATTCATCATATCCATGAACAGTATGTGCTTCGTTATTTCTATCTTCTTCAATTTCTTTCTTTTTGTCTTAAAATTTTTGGAGTACAGGCCTTTTACATCCTTGGTTAAACGTATTCCTACGTATTTTATTCTTTTGAAGCAATTGTGAATGGGATTCAGGTTGTTGTTTGCCTTTCTGATAGTTCATTGGTATATAAAAATGCAACTGATTTCTGGATATTTATTTTGTATCCTGTTATTCTACTGAATTCATTTATTAGTTCTAGTATTTTTTGTTGGAATCTTTAGGGTTTTCAATATAGAGTATCATATCATCTGCAAATAATGATAGTTTTACTTCTTCCTTTCCAATTTGGATGCCTTTTATTTCTTCTTCTTGTCTGATTGCTGTGACTAGACTTCCAGTATTATGTTGAATAAGAGTGGTGAAAGCGGACATCCTTATCTTATTCCTGATCTTAAGAGGAACACTTGTAGTTTTTGCCCATTGAGGATGATGTTGGCTGTGGATTTGCCATATATGACCTTTATTATGGGAGATACATTCACTCTATTCCCACTTTGCTGAGAGTTACCATAAATAGGTACTGGATTTCATCAAATGCTTTTTCTGCATCTATTGATATGGTCTTGTGGTTTTTTTATCTTTCATTTTGTTTATATGGTGTGTCAATTTATTGAATTGCAGATATTTTAACAACCTTGCATCCCCAGAAAAAATCTCCCTTGATAATGGTGTATAATCTTTTTAATATATTGCTGGGTTCAGTTTGCTAATGTTTTGTTGAGGAATTGCATCTGTATTCAACAGGGATCTTGGCCTATAATTTTCTCTTTGTAATGTCTTTATCTGGTTTTGGAATTAGGATAATGCTGGCCTAGAAAATGAACTTGGAAGTCTTCCCTCCTCTTGAATTTTCGGGAATAGTTCAAAGATAGGTATTAGTTCTTCTTTGCATGTTTGGTAAAAATTCACCAGTAAAGCCATCCATTCCAGGGCTTTTATTTGTCTCCCCATTCTGGTTGCCTCTTTGTGTTTGTTTCTATGTAACAGGAAGATCTGTTGACTCCGTCTTGGTAAGAGTAGCCTTATGTAGAAGGTGACCTGTGGGACCCAGCGGTGCAGTCTCCCTGATCACTGAGCTGGGTACTCTAAGAATGTCCCTTGTTCATGTTTTGTGGGCCCTCCAGTAATTGAGTCTTGATTGCTATTGGCCCTTTTGTGCGTGGGATCAACCCTCAGGCTGGCTGCCAGTGAGGCTCAACACCCAACAGGCGTGCAAGCTGTTATGCCAGTGCGGATCACACGAAGCTGAATTTGCCTCAGCAGGTTTTGGTACCTGCCAATATCTCCCTGTGGATAAGCTGCTGGAGAAGCTTACTGAATCCTGCTCTTTCTGTCTGGAACTGGCCACTGGTTGTATTGGTTCTGGACCTCTTCACAAGGCTTCTGGTGCAGGCCAATGTCAGCTGCTATCTGTGACTGGCTCTGGGCAACCTGTTTGGAGCTACCAGTGACCACAGCTTATTAAAGTCCAAGTAAGAAAGAATAAAGAGAAAACCATATTTGGAGTCAGAAGCCTTTAATAACTATATTCATTTCCAGAGAATAATAAATATAGAAATACAAGCAATATATGTAACAGTAATCTTTTCCTTAGGTACAGAAAGCATTTACTTTTATACAGATTAATGGGCAAACACTTTTACTAGAAATCAGCAGTGGAAACAGCTACACAGCAGAAGAAAATTACAAATAAAATGAGTTATTTAACTACTGAAATTGACACTCCAGGTGTTCCGCCATCACAGGTGACATGGGAAGTTGGTTCAGCTTCGGGCAGCAGTACTCTGAGGTTGCTCAGATTGGAGCTGTTTACCAAGATATTCCCTAAAAAATAAAATAACAAGGTAAATTAGCATTTAAACGACAAAGAATCTCTTTCAAAATCAAAGTACAATATATACTGTCATATGCTTTAATATCTAAAAATTAATAAACTAGTCCTAGAAAACAAAACTTTTCCCAATTTCAAAAGTGCCTATACTGTATGAATTTCCAACCCTCTATTTAAAATACACAAGAAAGTCATTACACCCACGAACAAGTAATTCTGCTTTCGATTACAAGGCAATGTAATTACTCATGGGGGATGTCTACTTTACACTTTGGGGAAAGCCTTGTTTACCGGTGCTGCCTCTTCTGCAATCTAAGAAGTTGAAACAACCACTTAAGTATGATTCCATGCCCGTGGACTGATACATGAAAATCACACTCCCCGATGTCAGAAAATACAGGTACCTATATCTGGGGGTGAACACAAGAGCACATGAAAACAAACCCCCAAAAATAACATATAGAATCACCACACCTGGTAGAGCTGCTTGTTATGGAGCACACACTCTGCCCTGCACAGGCGCAAACCTGCCGAGATGGCTCATGGAACCCCAGAACAATCACAGAGCGGACACATACTATTCTCATTGTACAGACAGGGCACGATGCTCTGCTCCAGAAAATAAACTGCATATACACCCACAAAGTGTGCATGCTTCGCTCTCATTACATACAGATATCACTGTTAATTCCAGGACAGAAAACAATCTGTACCCTATTTTCTGCAAGTGACTTGCCCAATCTCTGATTTTTGAACTACCTCATAAGGATGAGAATATCGACATGTTTCCCCCTCTAATAAGAACAGAGCATGAGTTTTAGCAGAGAGAGAGGGATTGGCATTCCAGCGCCATCACTTCATTGGCTCTAGAAGTTGTGGGATGAAGACACTTCATGTTAACATGAAGCCAACCGAGGCACTGAGTGTGAAGGCAGCTGGTGCAGGGACGAGCAGTGGGCACATGGGGCCCATATCACCCCCTCTCCTCAACTGGTCTTTCAACCTCTCCTGGTCTGAGGACCTCCAGGAAACAACCTTTGGGTGCTACCAGCATCTACTAGTCAATGTGATCCTGCCTTTCTCTACAGAGGTACAGAGTAAGAGGAGAGGGATGATCTAAGTTGTTTTATTGCCCTACTTTCCCCTCAGATATCACAGCCTTAGCCGAAAGTTATCAAAGATGTGAAGCAAGATTAGAATAAAAGATGAACTAGAGTGGGCGAGGTGTCAGGGACCCCCCCCAGAAATGTACAAAAGTGAACTATGATTTAAAATACTGTGCGACTAACTGGAACTTCGTATGACATGGAAATGGCTGGTGATCTTTTAAAAAGCCTTACAGGAAAGTTCTTATCACTGACTTACCAATTTGGATATCACGTTAAATCATATAATATATTCTTATGTTAGCTAGGAGCTACCCTGACATAATTTAGACAATGGGGGTCTTATTTTCAACCAAAAATATATAAATAGTTCTAATTTATGCAAAGGCCAAAAGGAAAGCCAGCCTATAAGTTTTACTAGACAGGAAAAAGTAGGATTCTATAGTTATTATCAATGCTGCCATGTGGGGAAGCCTGCAGCTAGGAAATGCCTGTGACTGCACAGATTGTGTAGGGGGAAGGAGAATATAGTATTTATTATAAAACTTCTAGATCTTATACATTTTTCTACATATACCTAAGGAATTGAGCTGAAATTAGGAATGCTTCCTTTCAAGAGGACCTTTGTATATGCCAGTTTTGAATGCTGGACTACTTATTGTAAGGGCACAGGACATGCCACCCACATACGCCAGTTGGTGAATTGATCATTTTAAACCAAAGGCACCTGGAAAACAGCAAATGCAGGCGCAGGCTTTCTCTGAACTCCCCTCATCTGCAAAAGACAGGTGCTCCACAAAGGACCCAACTGTCATAACCCCTCCTCAGGAGCTTCTTCAACCAGAGAGGACTGACTCATCACAAGAAAAGAGACTGGAAGTCCCCACCACACCCATACAAACTTCGTCACCAACTGCCTCCCACCTATCACCATGTTTCCTAAAAATTATTTATTCTGCCCCCTTCTCTCTTTCCTATTAAGATGTAATTTAAGCCTAAATTCTAAATCTAGCTTTTTGAGTTACTCATTTTATTCCTGGGTATTTCCCACGTGTACAAGAGGTATACATTTTTCTCTTGTTTATCTGTCTTTTATTACAGGTGCCTCAGCTCAGAACTCAGAGGCATAGAGGAAAAATAATTTTTCTCCCATGTCAGAGTGATCTTAGGAAACATTTGAAAGATGTACTCAAAGGCACCATGCCACCCAAGGGCTGCATCTGCTCCATCTCTTCCAGAGACATGAAGGGTGGTTCATTTCCCATACCAGATTTAACTGATATTTCGCGGACAACCATGGACACTTGGAGGTAAGGAAGGTGGCTGACTTCTTCATAAAAGAGACATAGGGTCAAAGTAGAAGGATATTAAAACAGAGTGAAGGTGAGTTGTGCTGGCCGAGAATAGAAAAACAAGCCCAACCATGGCTTCTTCCCCACCCGTCTCCTGCTCCTTCGTCTTCCTGGTCAAGGTAATTATTATGGGTAATATGCCCTCGTTTCTTTGCTATATACAAGGCGGCCATGTGATATTCACTTCTTCGTGACCTAGTGCCTGGTGTGTAGGAACCAGGGCCTCCTTTCCTGTCTGCTCGGGATTATGCAATTTAGGGTTAAGGCAAAGGACATATATAGATGTAAATTGTTCAACTGAGAACTTGCACATCAAGGGCCCCAGATGGAACTTTGTGAGCCTAAGGTGAGGTATTGCAGGTCACAAAATGCCAGAAGTTTAACAGAAGAGCCCAGACAGGACTCCTGGACAAAAAGAATCAGATCTCCTCCTCAGGCTTTCTTGAAATTAGTATGTTTGCTATGGCATGTGGGTTGTTAAAATATCAGCAAGAGCTCAACTGCAAAAGATATTTATTACAGAAGGAGACCTAGCCTATACAAAGCTTTGGGGGAAATCTACTTCTTTGAACTTGGCTGGTAAAATGTTGTCAGTCAGCATTTCTGATGTCAAATGGCAACATGTATTCAATGAAAACATTCCCAAGATTCAAGGCTGCCTCTGAATTCTCTGTGGGAAGTCCTGACACCAAGTGCCTGGGGCTGGGAACACAGAACGGTTGCTGCATTCCACACTTTACACGCCATCATGACAACATGATTCCTGTCTATCCACATTTTACCCTCCATCTTGACAGCATCCCTGTAAGGTGGGTGTTACTGCCAGTTACAGGAAGAGAACGGAGCCTCGGAAAACTTCAATAACTTGCTCAGGTGCAAAGTGAGCAAAGGGCCTGGCACAGGTCTTATTCTCTTTCTGCTGTGAGGCTGCCTAGCCTCCAAGAAGAGCCTCGAAGGCGCAGGAAACAGACACTGCCTATCTAATAGAGTAGAAAATAATAAGCAGGTATGAGTAAGTTCTTCAGGTTAACATTACATTACTGTCGGGATAAAGGAAAAACTATTATAAATTTTATTTCAAAGGATTATAATGCATCTATAACAAAGAACTCAAGAAGAGCTATTTTAAATGAATCAATCCATTTACTCAGTATTCCTCTTTATACATGCAGATCAATACAACAATAAAAATTCAACTTATTCACTCATAAAGTGCCCAATTTATTCCAGCAATTTACAGAAGCTTGACATTAAGTCTCTGCTTCTACTACCTACAAAGCAAATTTGAGAAGTATAATATTTTCCCTTCTTTGACTTCATTCATAACTTAAAATCACTTGGGATTCCACTATCTCTGAAACTAAAAAAAAAAAAAAAAAAAAGGCAGTCTGAAAAATCCAACTACAAAACAGCTCACAAAGGAGATTATGTTGTATCCTAAGAAAAAGTTTACATGTGACTAAGAAATACCTATTTTATTCTCTTGCCAATGGCCATAAAATTCCATACTTCCACTTCTATTAAAATACTGACAAACTGCTTTCCAGTTCCTACCAGGTACCACTGAGAAAGCTAAGACTTGACAGAGGTGGTCTGAAGATGACATTAGGTGCCTGGGTTCTATTCTGCTAGAAGCAAGGACCCCAGGAAGCATTTACACCTGGCCTATATTAGCACCTATGACAACGAAAGGCCTTCAACACATTATATAGGGTGTCCCAAAATTCACGCAAGATTTGAATTTTGCGTGAGCATTAACAACAACAAAAAAAAATAAAAGCCTAATTTTACTTGGTTTATTGAATCAGATTCTAATATCTGTTGCCCTTTGATTTCAATCCCTTCAATTTGATAAGCATTACCAAGTACCAATTATGGCCCAGGAGCAGGGACAATGAAGACCAATGAAGACCACGGCTTTGTGTATGTGCCAGCAAAGCCGTGGAGGCCATTTACGCGATGTGCTATTCCATACATAACCCTATACTGTATACTTTATGAATCAATAAAAAATTTACAATTTTTAATTATAAACCTGTGTTTTCTATCAAAATTACTCCTTGCGTGAATTTTGGGACACACTATAATTAATTGCCAAACTTCACTATATTTATGGTTGTTTATAAGGTCAAAAATGATAATTCTTTCTTTAAAACTATGGTTGAAGACACTGTGTTACCCATTCAACATACAAACTTCACCTATATAATTGAAACACATGGTAACTTCAGCTATATAATTTAGTGCCAGAAACCACAGGGTAACTTCACCTACATAATTTAGTGGCAAGAAAAAAGTGAATTTTCTCCTGAAAATTCACCAACATATTAATCTACGAAAACTACAGTTCCCCTTTTTTCCTTTTTTCCTTGGCTGCCAAGAAGCTTAGTAGAAAATCTACTGTTACTATCAGTTTTGTATTATTTTCTCTAGTCTTTCAGTGTGTGCAAATTTTCATAACTAAAATTATAATGAACCTAGAATTCTATATCCCATGTCTTTTTGAGCTTATCATAATTATTAAAAGTACAACTG